CCCGGGCGCGTATACCCGATTGCTTGATCAAACACGATAATCGCCAATAGTACACATATATTATATGATAAGAAAACGTGTAATGGTATTCATATATATTGTCTCACGTTCATTATAATATTTCAATTGAAAGATGAGATTGTGTTTTAGAAAGCCACTGCAGAGATTATACTGGAATTTTAAAAGTGTTTCCTCCGGCTTTTTAGCTCGATTTTTTTAAGCTTTTGACTAACCCCCAAAAAGCAATGGTGAAAGTTGAGGTAGATTTAGTGGTTGATATAGCAAATCTATACATGGAAATAAAAAGGCAAAATTTTACATTTGCAAAATACTGTTATATTAGCGCTATTTGAAACGTCGATGCACATAACCTCCCATAAATGAATCGACTAATAGAGGTAATAATATAGGTTTCCTGATGAACGTATAGGTTTTATGATGGAATGTGCATCCTGGAGTGGCTCTGAATCATTCAATATCCAGTTTGTTTTGCCGAAGGTAACTGAATAATATTCATTGTGAAATAGAAGTTTAATATGACTTCATAAAGTTTAGGTTTGATACATTTGTATTGTTTTGCTGTTGCCACAACCTCGCACTAAAACAAAAACACGTATGATCACTGTAGTATATGTTGTCGAAACGTCGAGAAATACTTTTGTGTATTTTTGGTAGCTGTTACTTTGTTGCAACATTATTCGAGACAACGTCGAGGTGAATATTTCCCGATAATCACCGAGCCTAAGCCGAAAAATTGTTTTAGTATTTTTTCACTAGTGAATTGACACAAGAAATTTGTTCGCTTTTCTCTTTGTAACTAGAAACGTCCACAAAACGGCTAGCCGCCGGCATTTTGAAATTTCTTATAATACGTCAAATATGACCAATCAGAATGCAGGATTTGATATATTCACTTGTGCATGCAAAAATACTAAATATATATATCGTGCAAAGCGTGATGGTTCATTTTTGACCGTGCTTTTTTTGACCACGCTCCGTTTAACCATGCTTATCCGTATAAATGCTAAATAATATATCTTTCCTTCAGGACATTTCGTCAGATATGTTTCACACACTTAGCAACATGCTACCCAGCATATTTCGTGTATCAAGGACGCTGGACCTGCAAGATTTATCACGAAAGTAAAAAAAAAAACATTACGTCGTAATACGATAACTAGCAACAATACTCATGCATGCATATGGATCTGAAACAAGCCGCGTTTGCATTACGTGTTTGACCTGGCCTGGACCAGGCCTAGGCCTAGATGTGAACATTGTTTATCCGGCCTAGACCAGGCCAGGACCTGGTGTAGGCCACAAAATCCTGGTCAACAGCAAAAGGTGGCCTGGGCCAGGCCTGGACCTAACCTGGGGCAAGATTTTGGTAATGTGCACATTCTTGGATTCTTGTATATGAATCTAGGCTTTACCTAATCATGACAAATTTTTAACCTAATAGTATGATTTATATAGGATATATATAGTATTATCACCTTCCGGTGTGTTTTGGGTCCTATTCTAAGTATTTTGTCAAATACTTTGGCTATCTGATATCAGCAACAAGGAAGACAGTGTGAACGTGGGGCACATATTACCTGGACTTGTCCTAGACCTGGTCCAGTGTAAACGCGGCTATATATAGGGGCCCTGGTTTTAATTTAGTTCTAGTTGTCGTAAACTGAGTAATTCACCGATGCGATGTAAATGTGTCTTTATTTTCTATATTATATGATATACATTATTGTTTACTGCGCAAATGCATGTTTAACATATTAGCATATTGGCCAGGGACCGCTGAGGGGGGGGGGCTGGGGGCTTTAGCCTCCCCAATAATTTTCAAAATACATGTGATTCCTTTATAGCGATTTTTATATGCATGGCCATAATAATACGAATAAAAACTCCTTATAGTAAGTTGTGTAATCATAATTATGTGTTCACTATCCGTGTTGGTGAACAATGTTTTCATTGAAGTGTTTACAAGAAAAATATAAAACAGATAAGTATGGTCCCCCCCCGAGGGTTCACTCTTTCGGCTTCGCTAGCCCCCCCAATCCAAAAACTGCTCCGCGGTCCCTGTTGGCATGCAGATATGTTCATATGCGCAATACATAAAATTCTAGAATTTAATTACAGTTACTAAATTAAAGTTTTTTACATCTAAAATTAGATTTCACTTCATAAAAGGTCTGAAGTATATCAGTGTTCAAAGGCCATCCTAAATAAGTAGGTTCTCAATGCTTTAACATAATTTAAATTGTCCATATTACGAATATTTGCCGGCATACCGTTCTAGAGTTTTGGAGTAGCTGATTTAAATGCTCTCCCACCAAGTCCAAGAGTCGTCAAACATTATCCTGTTGGTAGCGTCAAATAGTGGTAATAGTGTCAAATTTCCACTTGATCTTAAACTGTACCTAGTGTGCCTTTTAATGTTAGTAAGATCCATTAGATATTTCGGGGCTAATCCATGTATATACTTAAAAATTAATAATAAAATTTTAAACTGAATCCTGTAAGCAACAGGCAACCAGTGCAAAGCGTCCAAGACATGTGTAATGTGTCTGAATCGTGAATTACCGGTGAAAACATGGGAAAGAGCAGTGCTACATGTCTTGTTACATAATATGCTTTGACATGTTTAATTTAGAATCAAGCCAAGATCCCAAGTTTTTCGCCACAAAAGGCGTAATCTGCTTGTCTCCCACTTGCAGACAATCGATGTTAACCTTTCCCAGCTGCTGCCAACATAGTTCCAGGTTTAAAGGATAAACACAGTTGAGTATCATCAGCAAAACAATGCGCGTTGGGTAAATGAGATTTGATGATTCTGAACAACTTACTTGTATATAGGATGAAAAGAAATGGTCTCAAACATAATACGGTACATCAAAACTTAGATCAAATTCTTTAGAGTAAGTCCTCCTGTAGTCGCTGAAGAAGAATACAAAGACACTGAATGTAGCTAGTAATATTACATCAAAAACCTAATTGATTGTCATATGGATCCATCAAATATGGCAAAAAATAGAAGAGGAACCGCAATGGGTTTAATTTTGAATTATCATTATTTGAATTATCACTCTAAGCTTTGTCCATAACAGAAATTCGTGATTTGTTCTAATTTTTATCTGATTCGTTTTTATTATATACAGGCCTTTTCAGCTTGCATGCTGAAATTAAGCCATTTCAGATGTGGTGACCATGGAATAACCAATAAAACTTAACCATTTCATTTGAAATGGGTTAATTTGCATACAAGCTGAAAAGGTCTATTTATTTGGCCTTTTTAGAATAATGATTTTAAAAGAACATTCATATGAATTATGCGTGATTAATAGATATAATAAATGACTACATAGTATATTTACCTAATAGAAAGATTAAATTATATATGTGACGAAGTTATCATTTTTGTAATATTGGTAGATATATATAGCTAATCGTTCAATGTATCTTCACTCCTAGTGAAAAATTTTTAGGAAAAAGATTTTCTAGGAAAGAGATTGTTTGAAACAATACGGCGGCAGTAAACCTCGTTTTTTCACGGCGATTATCTTCTGGTGTATGGCTGTATATGCATGCTATTAAGTAGTGAATGCAACAAATAAGATTAATTTTCTTTGTCATGCAAAACAACTATGTCACTGCATGCACTGCAAAAGTCATAACTCACTCAAACACATATACTAGAAATGGAAAATCGGGGGAAAAATGCTCGTGGCTATATGAAAAGTTTGAATTAACGACAGACCTGTTATAACCAGTCGAAAACACATTCAAAGTTTTCTAATCTTAATTCACAGTCAGTAGTAAAATGAAGACCATTGTTACGTTCCAGGGGCCGGTTGTATAAAAACGTTGTTATTACTATGATTAGCGCTAACTAAAGTAAACTGTAAAAAAAGTGATTAAAAAGTGATTAAGAGTCAGTTTATACAACCGGCCCCTATAGGCTAACTAATTAACAGTAGGACTGAATCTTAATCCCTGTCTCTGAGTAAAACTAAAAAACGCACCAATGGACTTCATTCAATCACTTCACGCAATGTGAAAAACAGCACAAGTTTAATCTTTGCAACAATAATGTGATCTCTCTTTGATAAAACCTAAAAAAATAAAACCGGCTGAGAAGAATTATACTAGTTACTAATCTACAAGCTTAGGGGATGTTGTATTTGGTTTGTGACGACAGGGACTTTTGTGTGGGTAGATTCTCTTAAGGTCAATATTCTCTTCCGGTTTGTGTGGGCCTTTACAGGGACCGCGGAGGGGGGGGGCTGGGGGGCTTTAGCCCCCCAATAATTTTCAAAATACATGTGATTCCTTTATAGCGATTTTATATGCATGGCCATAATAATACGAATAAAAACTCCTTATAGTAAGTTGTGTAATCATAATTATGTGTTCACTATCCGTGTTGGTGAACAATGTTTTCATTGAAGTGTTTACAAGAAAAATATAAACAGATAAGTATGGTCCCCCCCCGAGGGTTCACTCTTTCGGCTTCGCTAGCCCCCCCAATCCAAAAACTGCTCCGCGGTCCCTGCTTTAGACTGTGTAACTAATACATTCAAAATTGCGTAATTTGTAAAGTGTTGTAAATGCGTTGTTATTTCCTTTGTAATCAGCTCAACTTTTGGTTACGTAACGACTTGTTGAAAAACAATTTATTCTCGTGTAGTGAAGGGGAAATTAGGAAAAGATGACAAAGTGCTCATTTTAAACAAAATTTCTCGTTCAGCGTTAGTGGGACTCAAAAGCAATACATATTTAGGCAAAAAGTGATAAAGTGAGTCTTCCTAGTTGGAAAATTAGTTCACAGAGGAATGGTCAATTCTGAAACTTTGGGAGATTCGATTATAGACAATTTTAAAAATATGACGAATGGTTACCGGTAGCTCTTACCTTTTTGAGTTTTGATGCAAGAAAACGAAATTTCAACTTTTAGATTGGAAACACGCAGTGCATGCGCCCGACGGCCCGATTTCGCGCAATTTGGCGGGAGATATTGTTAAAACGTTGCTTGTCTTGCTTCGAAGTGAAATCGTTTCGATAAGACACTGATAAATCTTGTACAAAAATGTCTAATCCGTTGACTGCAGGAGCGATTAAGGTAGGAAAGCATCTATATATTTATTATTTTTGTTTGTGCTTAGAATAAATTCATGTGGGGTAAGAAAATATTTAAGGCCATATTTCAGCTAGCCCCTTATATCGTATTAACGTATTCGATTGACTTTTAATATTGCAGAATCATCCACAGAGTTACTTAATTCATTAGATTTTCTTACGTTTATACAGGAAATTTTTTTAGATCATAGCAATTTGCCAAAATCTCCTGTTTTGCAAGTGTTGGTGAGTTTTGCAAGTGTTATTTTTGTTTATTTGCTTTATATTATTTTGGGCAAAACTATTTGTACAATTTATTCACAAATGCTATTACATCACTATTCATATACAAGAATCCAAGAATGAGCATGCTTTGTATCAAGGGCTTATGAGGAACGAAACTCTCTTAGTATTAATTTTAAGGAATGGGGGGGGGCAGATGTGAAAGCCTGTCCCTGGGGAGGTTTTGTTGGGCCCAGAAAACTTGGTACTATCAGTGATTCTGGATCCCTTTGATTATTTGCAATAATTCTACACAGACATTTTATACATATATTCATATTTACCTAAACATTTGAATATTGTAGGGTTTGAAAAAAGTTCAAGGCAATCAAGGCGGAAGTGAAAGATACCGGTATGTTGAAGTAAGGGTGGTGCTAGCTAAAACTTATGAACATTCTTAAGAGTGGTCTCTTTACAAAGACTGTGTTTGGAGTTGTTTTACCTTCAGATCTTTAACCTTGCAATCCTATCAGTAATAAACCATGCAGGTCTAAATTTTAAAACCATGTTTCTTATAGGCAGTAATTCTTGGATTTCTTATCCCTTTTACCCAATCAAATTATGAGGTGATAGGCAAAACTAAGAACAGTCGTATATCCCATGGTGTTGGTTGAACATGACAATTTCACTCATTGCTATCAACCAATCAAAGAGTTAATTTAATCTTTTCTGAGTAAAGAGTAATACTGAATAATAAATCTGTGTTAGATAGGTTCTACCATGTTCTGCTGAACTTAATTACAATGAATGTTGCATTACCAATAACTTAGCAACAAGGTCTATTATGTGATTAATGAATAGACTAGAAGAAATTAAACAGTCTGTCAAGACTTGTCATGAATTAACACATCCCAAAATGATGTATCCCAATCTACAAAATGATGTACATTCCCTTCCCCACCCCAAGTATTATGTGGTGAAAAAAGGACTTCTGATAGTTAAACCACAGTCTCTGATTGATGTTCGTAATTTTTTGTATTATTGTGTACCAAATGCATTCCTGAATTTTTTCAGGATGATTCTTTCTGATGGCATACATCTTCATACATGTATGTACATTTATTTATTTATTTTTTCAAATCAAGTCTGTCTCGATTTGTAGTTTTAGCCACCTACTATCCAAAGTGGATGGTCTTAAAGATTGTCCTACCGCTAGTAAAATATAGTTGGGTTAGAATTATTCTAATATTTATTATTTAGGTGCTATGTTAGCCACTCAACTAAATGACATGGTAGTTGATAATCAACTAGACACAAAAGCTGTCATCCGGTTGGATAAATACATCTGCAATATTATCCATGAAACACGGTAACTATTTAACTTTTTGTAACTGGGTGAAGTTCAATTTATTTTATCGTTGGTCAGAGCAAACTTGAGTGTGTTTTAGTGTATAAAAGTGCCAAGGTATTGTAGACAGGTAGGAAGGAGTGAAGTGGCTTCTCAGTATTAAAAAAGGCTAACAGTGACATGTGAACAAATGTATGATGGATCTTTATATGGAATAGTCTTTGTTAGAGGGTCATATCAGGGTTTACGTTTTATACTTATATTATGTCATACCGCTTTATTTTCCTGGACATCTATAATTTAACTATCATTTATGAAATTGTAGGAAGGTTTTAATTATTTTGGAATTGTCAATCATCAAGAAGGGATCGGAATGCCCACGTTATGGTGATCCAAAACAGTATGTCGAGAACACAGATGAAAAGAGTAGCACTGGTACAACCCAAAACAACAATAAGCCTAGTGTCCAACAAAATCCAAATCCTGGTTAGTATGAATTCTTTGAATTTTTATGCTGTTGGGCGGGTCTTTTCAAAGTGCTTGACTCGGGATCCTTTTATTGTCTTTTTCATTTGAGGATTAATCGTAAATTCATATACCGTATTTACTCGTTTGAGCGCGGCGCTGTTTAAGTTTTTCGAGCCTCAGATGCGTCGATTAATCGAGGGCGGCGCTTATTCGGGGGCGGCGCTCTTTCGGGGGCGGCGCTCTAAAAATTTTCGCAAGTGCGGCGCTCATTTGGGGAAGGCGAAATTAAAATGGGCGCATCGAAATAGCGCGCGGAGTATTTTTCGCCCTCCTAGGATGCAACATCAGATATTTTTCCTAGTCCCTGATCTATAAATATCACTGATATAGATGAGTATCACTGATATGAAAGTCATTAAGGGATTGTGGAGGAGTCAGTAAAGGCTATTTACGTGATCCCATTTAGCCGAGATTTAACGAAGCGTGAAATGATTTTGATGACACCCTACCAACATGCAAATCATTTCTAGGGAATACTCCATAAATACTGTAATGTTCAATATTTAAACAAGCTTACCTTGCAGTATAGCATGCAGTCGTCTAAAATATTTGAGCATTCATGCACTCTTATCTGTAAACATTTTCATTTCAGGCTCAGCGAACGTTAAACGAAATCAGGCCCCACCTAGCGGGTCCAGATTTGCTAGGTAACAATGCATTTAAATACTGCTTTTTGAAGTACTTGTTTTGTGAGTCAGTGATAAATTATACAAACCCTTTTCAATTTCTAGTCACCAAACTCCTGTATCACGAACTCAAACCGGGCCTACTGTCTTTCCTATCAGCAGCCTGAATCCTTACAACAACAAGTGAGTATAAAGCAATAAGAGGCTGTTCACATTAGCCCGGTTATTAGAGGTTCAACGAAGCCTAGGATGATTCTGAGGTTTGAAATAAGTCTTTATGAAACCAAATAAGAATGTGCTATTTTCGGGATGATTGCACGTCATCGACTGCCAGGATCATTTTATATGCTCATTTCAAATATTCTCAGTCCCCTGAATCACTCTTCGATAAATCTTGGCTAAATTGCATCTTTCTGTTTAGTTTTTATCTAAACAATCTTCAAAACAAAAGTCATGTCAGTAGAAATATACATGTACATGTTTAAGTGTTTCCGCTCATCGTGTTTACGTACTTGTTAACGTGCCATCCATTTTGAATCGTTTAACCAGGATTAAAAAGTTAAACCACCTAGATATCTCGGTTATTATATTTATCATTTTTATTTATCAAGAGTAACGCTAACCAGGCTTTGTGCAACTAAAATTAACCAAGATTTATAATTAAACCCTTGGTTTAGGAATTGTAATCCTTGGTTAACCTTAACCCGGCTTTTAAACAATCGGCCCCTGAAGCTTTGCTTCTTGCATGTATACGTTTTTTTTAAATTCGCTGAAATCGAAGAACTTAACTTTGGCACGGTCGTTTTAGCTGGTGAAAGAATAACAATGTACTGTACCAATTTTTCGGGTCTGATTATGTGAATGAGTAATTATACATACGCGAACCGCATAAATTGTAATATTCCCCGAATCGAACACTTGTAATCAGTTTAAAAAACCCACTAAAAATCACCGTAACTAACATGCATTGCATTAAGAGATATATGCTTTTTTAATGTAGGTGGACAATTTGTGCCAGAGTGACTTCAAAATCTAGTATTAGAGAATGGTCAAACTCGAAAGGCCAAGGACGATTGTTCAGTGTTGATCTAATTGATGAATCTGTAAGTGCGATGACAGTGATATTGCACAACAGCGTTTGTATTTCTGAAAATTAAATTGTCGCGTTAATTTCAATGGTTGAGCGATGACGTTTCTAGGCAGATATAGACACATTTCTAGGGCGTGGCTTCAACGTTCTGAAATTTTCGGCATTCTGCTTTTGTTAGCAACGTTTGAATTTTGAACATAAACACTATAAACGTGTCAATGTTCAGCTAGACGCGTCATCGCGAAACGGTTAAAAGTAAGGCGACAACTTTCTATATTTAACGGTCTACCTGAATCTGCAGTATCTATGGTTGACTCAGAAAGCAACATTTTAGAATTTTAAACTCTAACTAGAAATACATGCATGCAGCAACCCCTCGCCATTTCAAACGAAGCAAAATTTTTCTAGCGCTAGCCAGACCTCAATATAATAGCTGATATTTCACATTTTTCGGAAACAATTGAAATCATGCAGTGATATTGGTTAAAGCTTCAAAGTGATATTGGTTATATCAAGTCTCTGGATTACACTTACCACCAAGTCACTCTTACCACCAAGCTCATAAAATGCATTCCTATACTACAAATGAAATAAACTAAGTAGACACCTACCATTTCAAGGATTATAAAGTACGAGTTGTTCACCGCTTAACTTTAACTGCTTAATTCTCCCAGTTCTGATCATATTTTAATCTTTTCCCAGTGTTTTTATCATTTTATTTTATACGCATTTCATATTGTGATTACGAGACATTTTTAAAAAAAATAGTTTGCAAAATGACAGTTAAATTGCTGACGTTTTTCATTCAAATACAAACATTTTGTCTTAGCCAATCAGCAAGTTGCTAATATTTACTCCTTACTTGTTCAAATTTTGCGCATGCGCACAAGTGCTATGACCATTGAACGTCCATGGTCCATGAGATAGAATTTAGACAACTTTGAATTCCGCTATGTTCTGTAACAATACCCAGGTGTAATTCCTAATCTCCGGGCGGAATTAGAACCCTCGCACGGCGATCGCGCCCGCTTGGGGATTATATATGTCCTACGTCATAATCGGAAAGAAAAATTACTGGATATCCTTGCCCCTCCCCTGTACCTATCTTACTGCCTATTTAATGTGTCCTTTGAATTTCTATTCCGGGTTTCCTTTAAACCTTAATTCTTCCAGGTTAGGAACTGTAATATCTAGAAAGATATCTCCATATAGATGTGTCTATGATTAATAAATGACGCCCCTCCAAGTACGCCCCTTTAAATGACAATTATTATCTCCGCGAATTATACGGTAGAACTCTTGTATCCCGCATATAGTTTTAATAATGTTGTCCCTTTAGGGTGAAATACGAGCTACATGTTTCACCGAACTTGTGGACAGATTTTATCCATTACTTGAACAAAATAAGGTATTGTCTGCCGGTAAAAACCTGTTTGTCAGAACATGTTTATATTTGCCCTATTAGTTACAGTAGCTATATTACAGTAAGTGAAGACATAGCATTCTGGAAAATCATCTAAAACAACGTCTTTGTTCTAATCTTTTTTCTTGTTAGCGAACTTGTGCATATACTACTACTTTGGTAATAAGTGTAATAACGTAATCTAGCTGCACTGCTGCGATTATCTGTTGCACGATAGTGCCTGAATTAGTGCCTATAACCTAAGGGAATGTTGAAGTGGAATGGGTATGAGAACCGGGACTGGACGGGTGCCGGAATGGAACTTTTTCATCACGCGTAGCTATACAGTGGCGGATCTAGGGGTGTGCAAAATAAATTACTAAGGCTTAAAATCGAAATCACATTGGCAGATTTTAAGTTAAAAGTAATCTTTTCAAATCTATAACCAATAGTGTTGTTATTAAGGTGTTTTGAATTTAAAATTAAGCTCTGTAATTTATTCTGCACACCCCTATATCCGCCACTGTAGCTATAATTATACAGTTGAGTAAAAAAAAACTGACATCTTTGAAATTCAAATTAGCGGCTGTAATGTGACAGAAGTTGCCTAAAATATTTCATTGGTATACGAAGAATATCATATTAATTAACCTAAAACATAAAGTTTGTTCCCTTTGGGAGTTAAAATGCTTTCTAAGCTCTGTAAATACAAAAGAACAGTTTTATCAAATCGTTTTTGTTGATTGTACAATGGGAACTGTCATATTCCAGCAATAAGTTCGCTGCTAATTTAAATTTCAAAGGTTTAAGGGTTTTTTTACTCACCCTGTTTTTCTTCAGCTATACAGGGTGTCCCAAAAAAAACGCAAAATATTAATATGCAAAGCTTAAATATGCAAGAATATTAATATTGTTCGGGTTTTCACCATAGTTCAGCTAAAATGACTTTTAGCATTGTAAATGAAGGATTAAGAGCCATTTTCAATTCCCAGAGGTGCTTATCTATCGCGCTTTAGAGCTGTATTAATGTTCTGCATATTTAAGTGGTTGCGTTTTTTTTTATACACCCTGTATATAGAAGTTATTCTTTACAGCTTTTCTCAATTTTTTGTATACTGCTAATAAGCAGTATTTCATTTATTTTTAAGCATTGTTAGTATTTGTTACCAATTTTTTACCACTGTTATTAAAACGTGCTTCCGGCGTCTACCAGCAGTTTCGGAATCCGAGTCAGGCGGGATGGAGCATCTATATGGCAAAAAGCATCCCGGGTGCACAGAATTCGATAAATATTATACAGGGTGTCTGAAAAAAGTCCCCCCTATTGAAATGAAGCTTTTGTTGGAATTTAAATGCATGATTAACTCAGTAGTGTGTAAATAGCATAGTTATTAGGTTGAGGCATTCAAAAAAACGTTTTGTTTTAAATTGGGTTTATCATAATATTAGTAAGGCAATCAGATTCAGTAGCGTAGCCAGCCTGTCGATTTGTCCCGCTATGCTAATATTTTGGTGTTCACTGACTGTGAAAACAATGGATTTCTAAAGATATGAATAATTATAATAACTCGAAATTTACATAGCGGGACAAAATAGTCAGGCTGGCTACGCCACTGATCAGATTCTAACAAAGGCTTGATTTCAATAGAGGGGACCATGCATACCATGCTGGGATAAGCGTCGTCCCTTGCCGGCTCACATATGAGGAGGCCCTAATATGAGCGAGTTTTGAGTAGTGCTTAAATGATTTGTTCGTTTTAAAATCAATTTCTATTGTTTATTGTGTGTTATTGTTATCGTCAAACAATAGCAAAGCTTGTTCGTATAGGTGGGAACCGACCCTACTGTCAGCATAATGATCGTTTGGCTTTGCTTTAGATTTACTACATCTCAAAAGGAAGTATGCGACCAGCAAACAAAAGATTTTGCTCATTAAAAAATGACTATGAATTGACCTTCAACAACGATACAACAGTTGAACTGGTAAGTAATGAGTCTTATCTTATCACGGTTGATTCTTCTTTGATTTACGTTACATCTCTTTACGTATCATCATGCAGTGTCAAGAGAACAACAGCATTCCCACTTTGCAGTTCAATTTCGTCGAAATTGCCAAAATCCAAGATGTTCAACCTGAAAATCTGATTGGTAAGTTTTATTTAAATTCAATTTGAAGAGATTAAAGTTTCGAGGATATGGCTAAAGAGAGATTTACTAACTGTAGAGTCGACGAATGTCGAAGAGGTATGATTCAGGAGAGTTATATTTAGACCACGGCTGAACCTCGCTGATTATTTACGAGGACCCCACCTATTTTCTTAACTCACCCCATCCAGTTTATCTGAGATAATGACGTCATGAGGAAAAAAAATTAAATTCTAATTTACAGTTGAATCGAAAAAAAACGTGTTTCGATATAAACGAAATAAATAAAGATAAAGCCCGTAGTCTCATATGAAATGAAGGAAATGATAACTCAGTTTGGTCGAGGATGTGGCTTCTGATTGGTTGATTTTTACACTCAAATCAGCTGGATGTTCCTTAGAACTAACATGAGAGATTTACTGTAGTATATATATATATGTTTGACGTACCTTTAATATTTAATAGTCTTTTTCATCTCTGTTTTGACGAATACTGTATATCTATAAAAATTGATAGTTAAGTTAAATATAACTTTCCCATACATGGACGTGGTTTGTGCGAGGAACGAACATAACTTTTCAAAATCATAACTCTCCAAGATAACTCTCTGCATCCTAAATTTCGGCCAGTTACAACCGGAGACGACGACGTCATTATTATCTGAATCAGCATTATGAAATGAATTATAAAAATTGAAACACCCCAGAAAGTTGTGGCTTTTCCTAGCAACGACATTCTAAAAGATTTACCCTTCTCTTCACAACGTCAGCTGTATTTTGTTTTTATTTGCCCACTGGCCTTCTCATGTGCCGAACGCATTAACACCAATAGATAATGAGCCGTCTTAATGATTATCTAGTATTTTTAATGCGTCCAGTACATGAGTAACAGGACGTTTGAAGGCAGCCTAAGAGCATCTATTTGGACTGCATGTGTTTAACTGAATTAATTTTAAGTGATCGATCTAATGCTGATTCAGATAATAATGACGACGATCTTGCTTTGTTTTGTCGATAAGTTGAACTGAGCAACATTACCTCTAGCTATTTCACTTCGAGTTGAAGAAGTTTTAATCGAACGAATTGACAACGCAAAAAAATAGGATATTTGGAAATAATTTAGGAAAAGAGCTGTTTTTTTTGCTCGCGCTATTGATTTTTACGAAAATCACTCAACTGTCAACACTTCCGCTAACGGAGGAAGACGTTTCAAATTTCAAATTGGGTTAAATTATGTGATCAAATTGGTTCATCGTTTTGGTCACATGACTTCACGATTTGTGAATTCTAAATTTGCACGCCGTTAAAAAAATTTCCCGAACTACATATTAAACATTAAATCTACGTGCAATCGCTCGAAAGCTCGCTGTAACATCCCCACCTTTAGATGAAAGCGTAGCTCTTTGTCCACGGTTTTTCCTTAGCTGTGTATGTTCCTCCAGATGCATTTTCGTAGCACGGTAAGATTCGCGCGTAAATTCATAATTGCAACAAATTATAACAATACATTGAATTAAAACAATGAACCAATTTGATCACATGACTTAAAAAAATTTGAATCGTCAAACGTCTTCCATTTGAAATTCATAGCGCCAGTGTCGATAGTTTAGTGATTTCGTAATAAAAAGTTTCGATTCGCTTACTAAACAATTATGAAAGAAACTAAATCGCTCATGCCATCCTAGTGTGTGCAGGAGCTTTTCAACGGGATACAAAGTTCCTGCACACACCAGTATAGGGTTCATTATATATGGTATCATTTATATATACTTATAAGGTGTTATTGGTTTGTTCAGATATCGTTGCTGTTTGTTCAAATATCGCTGAGGTGAAAGAGGTTAACACTAGAGCTGGAAAGCAGGTGAGAAGGGCTTTCCCAAATGGAGGTTTTAGTAATTCATCATTTTTCAAGCGTGAATTTTTTAGAACACTCCAATAGTACAGTAGTCAAAACAGTAAAATGCATTTACATGCTTATTATTATCTCAGGGCGGAAACAGCTATTATCCTGGTAGTTATAAGATCCATCGACATTTAGTTTGTTAGCGCTCTCCGGTCCCATGGATTTCCTGCCATAGAGAATATTCATGTCTTGAATATTTCGAGTTGATTCGCCTCACTACTTGTATTGATGGCTTATATTTCGCGTTAAATATGAGCTCAACTCTTATACACGTTCTTTCCGCAGGTCTCAAAACGAGATCTAACTTTGATGGATTCAACTGCTTCTGTAACCTGCACACTTTGGGGAAAAGAAGTAAGTTTGCCAATTAATTAGTCTAGGACCTGTAAAGGAGTTTGTATTTCATTTAGGACAGATCATCTCAAATGGTTTAGAGTAAAATGACCCTGGCGGTCAACATTCTTGGCATATGTGCCAAAATTCGAATCCGCGGCGAGACCTAGAAAATGACCACACCCTGTCGGCAAACGGCACAGTCGACATAGCTGTAAATCCTGAATTATCAAAGCCACAGTCTTTCTAGATTGTTTATATAGTTACATTTACGCATTAAGAAATCGTTAAAGCGTGCGAATGTTATTAACTCATGCGCGCTTGCGCGGACATATAAATGACGTGTCCGAGAATTTGTAGAACTGTTGACGAAAAATGAAGACAAAATGATGGCGTATTCGTCATCGAACGTTTACTCCCCTCTGTTTATAAAATGCTTTTTAAGTTGGTCCACAACAAAAAAATCTCTTCACTGAAGAGTGTAATGCCGAAAAATAAAAAAATACTAAAAGGTTTTTCGAAAACAGCCGAAGAACGAAGGAGTGCGCTTAATTTAACATGATTGTTATGAATTTCGTTGTGATATGATATATGATATATTTCATTTCACTCACCCCCCGCCAGATTCAGCCAAGCACCATCCAAATATTGCGCATTAACACGATTCTAGTTGACTAAAAAATTCAACCAATTTTCGATGGGTTTTACAGTAGTGCAATGTAATATTTTTTAGAATTAGTGTCCCTGGGCATTTTATCGATATATGTTGCTATTGCAATGTTTGATATTATGTTTCTTTAAGCATTTATCTCACCTAGAGGATTAGTTGTGGAGTTTTAAATTATTTTGGCTCTTTCGAACTTAAGTTAATTTCATTCCCGAAGAACCAGGGAAAGTTTTTGACTTCCATGCAGGTTGGACAAAGACTTTTAAATTTTGGATAGCTGCTATTGTACTATCAATTATCTCTCGATGCTGTTAATAAAATACAGCTGTGCATGGATCAGGAAACAAAATGAAATTAGTCATATCTAAGAAAACACAATGTCACTTCTTAGGAAATTTATAATAAATATATTAAAATTCAGATTCCGATTTTGGCACATATGCCATGTTGACGCGCGTCGCGCGATGGTCATTTTAACCTAAACCAGTTCAGATAATCTGTCCTAAATGAAATATATACAATTTACAGTCCTAGACTAAATAATAAATTCATAGCTCCTATTTTTATATTAATTATATTTTTAAATATTTAAGTTGGCTGATTAAGCAGTCTCAAGCTAATTTTCTCATTCCAAAACACCTAGAATTGCTGAATATAATCCCCCATCTGCGCTTTTGATTATCTATGTATAATATGTATATGTATGTATTATTATTGATTTTGGGAGGATATCTAAAAAGTATTTTCTTGATAAAAAATTGTAACTAAAACTGACTTTTAAGGCGGAAAACTTTGAAAAGTATGTTGGATCGAATCCAATTATTGCCATGAAAGGGGTTAAAGTCTCAGATTTTGGAGGTAAGATATTTAACAGTTATATATTCTGCGAACTCGAGTCATATATGTGCTGATAGCCGACAAGGCGCGTTGACAAGAGTGAGCAGAAAAACTGTTTTGTTATATATACATATACAAGCGCTGGATAAAACAACTTTCAAATTTATTCGTAATTTGATCAATAGTTAATACCGTGTATTTTATATAGCTACAGAAAAATAGAAAAAAAAGTGTATTTTGTAAACGTATATAGTTTTAACCTACAGTTGCATGAATACTTTGTTTCAAAGTTTGTCGTTTCAAAGTTATATCGGGTTTCCCAAAAAAATACTCTGCTTTGATTAAAAACAGCTTTCATTTGTTAAAGGAAAGACTATGTTATAGTTGTGTTATTTAAGGAAATTCATGGAGATATTACTTTCCAAATTCAGTACTTTATTTCCAGATATATATATACGTTCATGGATTTTACTTTATAGGTCGCACGCTGAGCACGTTGCCCTCCAGTACGATGATGATAGACCCAGATACTATCGAAGAAGCGTTTAAGCTGCGTGGATGGCAAGTCACAGATGGTTTTATTTATAATGACTTTATTTTATGATATAATTGAGCTTAAGTAAGGGACGTTTTTGACAACAAAAACGGCACGAGCAACGTCAAAAGACTGGGTCAATGATTGTGATTGGTAAAAAAACAAATCTCAGCTTCCGGTGAACGTACGTGTTGTCAAAAATGTCACTTGCTTAGCTCACTATTATTAGATATATATACGATGTGCCAACTACATAGTGTGAGTTAAAATTACTAAAAATGATGCCAACATGCATGACATAGGCTATAGCTACAATATAACCATTATAACCGCTCTGGTTTTAACATACTTATAGGTATGATAATGTTGGTCATTCAGAAAGCATCGGTTCAATATCTGGACAGAGAGGAGATGGAATGAGTGAGTACTTAACCTCGATTAGCGTTTAAGCCTAGTTCTCATTCATTGCAAATCATCAACGATGAGAGTTTTTCGACGTCAGCGGCATGCGTGCAATTTATGAGAACGATTTAGATATATGTCGCCGATCTTAGCTGATTATCGGCAAAGCTGAATCAGGTCTACACAAAAGAGAGAAGTAAATAGGTATAGGAGAATTATGAACCTTTTGTTAATTCACTAAACAGAAAACGGTATCTAACAATATCTTGTTTTCTAGGTACGAGTGTTTATAAAACTATCAGTGATATTAAGAAAGAAGGACTAGGAACGTCAGAGAAAGTAAGTAATAATTAGCTACATATAGCAATTTTTTTTTTTATTTATTAATTTTCGGGTTACCTAAATATTTTTTTTTTCTTTAGCCCGACTACTTTAATTTAGTCGCAACCGTTTCCTACTTTAAGAAAGATAACTGTTTGTACAAGGTATGTCTGCCTATATGTTTGTCTAATGGATCTATAGTAATATATGTTAGGTATTTAACGGTAGTATTGCTACATGTAAATTTACCTTTAAAAATTTGCTTTTTAACTTCATAGCAACAAATTGTTGTTTTATTAGGCATGCCCAAAGCAAGACTGTAATAAGAAAGTTATTGAAGATGCGGATCACTACAGATGCGAAAAATGTAACCAAACATATCCCAACTTTAAACACAGACTGCTTCTAAAGGTAATAAATATTTTGTAGATTCAGGCATCTGTTTCATATGCTGGATTGTAAAAAAAAAAGATGGTGGCAGTGAAAAAGTTTTAATTAGGATGGCTCTTTAAACATGGTAGCTAGAGATTTGTGAAGGGGGTCATTGAATTTTTTTATGATGCAAGGGGATGAAATATTTTATTTAGTTTCTTATCAGTGAAATTTGCCGGTAGCATATTTTTATGAGGTGGTTAACAAGCCGAGTTTTAATTAACAAGTAAATAACATTGAACCGTTGTCTGTTCAGTTATACAGGGTGTCCCAAAAAAAGTCCCTATTGAAATGAAGCCTTTGTTGATTTGAATGCATGATCAACGCAGTAGTGTGTAATAGCATAGTATTAGGTTGAGGCATTCAAATAAAGCGTCTTGCTTTCAATTGGGGTTTACATAATATTAAGGCAAATCAGATTCTAACAAAGGCTTGATTTCAATAGAGAGGACTTTTTTTTTGGGACACCCTGTAGATACACGGTATGACGCCATTTGTGATAAAAACAAAGCAAAGTGACAAAAATTGTCAAAGTAAAGAATTTGCAGGTATCACGCGTACATGATCTATAGGATTGAAGAAATGCTATTGGCTATAGCCTAAGACACGTGGTAAAATTTGATTGGCTCACAAAAAAAAGAGATGAGTGGTCAAATTCGTTAAAATGATCTGTGTCGTCATTCCATGCGTCTGTCCTGTTATAGATCATGGCTCTCGACTAATGAAAATTGCGTGAATTCTTAACGTCGTGAATTAACGTGAATTCTTAATTCACATCAACTGTGGTAAAACAACTGCCCAAAAACACTTCTCGACGTTTCGACCTGAGGGCCTTCGTCAGGAGAGTTAGTATGAGAATAAATAGGGGAAAACACATGTTTTGTATTGGGGCTAAACACGTGTTAAAAATGGGCAAAAACATTAAAATCAAAACAAATTGGAAAAATTACGTTGCAAAAGAAGCGCCTGATTGTGGGCTAAGAATAGCCCGCAATGAGGGAACCCTGATCAGCAACGAAAATAGATTACAACCAGGCTCGATGTAAACAAAGAAAAATAAATCATATTACTCTAGGCGAAGTAGCCTAAATGAAAGAGAGTCTTTCATTTATGTGAGAGGGATGAAGAGGGCCAAGACTGTGGATGAGTCGCATTTCTTGTCGCTTACGGATATTGTTAGTACCGGAAATGGGACAGAGGGCTCTAATTCTCATGTCAGTGACACAATGATCACCAGAGCTGGCAACAGGCTTGGTGTTATCGTGGTTGTTAACCGACCTTATCCTTAGAGATCTTCCAGTTTCACCGATATATAGTAAAACACATTTGTTGCATGAGATGCAATAAATGAGGTTGGAGGAGAGGTGAAATGGTGCCTGAAGAAAACCGTGAATAGGAAGCCGAAATAACTTATTTGTTGGTTTTGTGGAAAAACAAATCTTTTAGCAGTACACTGGGCCTCTACCTGAGTACCTGGGAAGATACATTGATGACTGTCTGGGTACAGAATCATGTTCTCGTGCTGAGTTGGAGAAATTCATCAAAGTTGTTGATGAATTTCATCCAGCACTCCAATTCACATTGGAGATCAGTGGTGAGACCAGAGTATCATTTATAAGGTCTGTTCACACGATCCAGTATTGTTGGATCCAATTCACTTCTGATTGATGTTTTACAGTCTTTCGTCGAATGATGTTTATGGGCAGCAAATTCACTGAAGCCAATGCAGTACTGCTTTATCAATAACAGACTATATTCCATACGTCAGAAGTGAATTTGATCCAGCAAAATTGGATCGTGTGAACAGACCTTTAGATATACTGGTTTCCATCAATGGTTATGGGCTCTCTACCTCAGTGTTCTACAAGCCCACTGATGCCCATAGCTACCTCTTATATTCTTCCTTCCACCCCAGTCCACACTAAGAGGTCAAACTTCGTTTTCGCCGCCTTTGCAGTGAAGATGATGACTTCCAGTCCAAATGTCTGGAGACGAGAACATTCTTTGTCGGGCACGGCTACATTCCTCACTTATTGACACTGCCTTATCTAAGGCCTCCGACATTTCCTGCTTAGACACTCTAGAGACCCTGTCTAGCACCCCTAGGATTAATTCTATTCCCTTAGTTCTAACACATCATACCACATTTCATGCTAAGTTATTTCACAGTTAATAGAATATACATGGTTTAGAGACTACATGAAAGTACAATAGAACTCATTAACTATGTCCGGGAACATGTATGCAAAAAATTGTTCCTTATTCGTCACATGTCTATTGTATTTTGAACAAATAAACCAATAGTAAGGTCTGAATTAACTCAAGTCACGGTTGAGGAGCTAAGCCAAGCCATTGCTATTGGTTAGTTAAGAAAAAATACAATAGACGTGTGACGGATAAGGAACATTTTTTGCATAAACCTGGACAATAACATAGATAATGAGTTGTATTTGTACTTTTATTTAGTCTCCAAACCATGTATATTCTTATAACTGTGGTTATTATTTGAAGATGCTGTCACGCTGCTCCTTGGTTATTATGATATATAACATCAAATAGAACACTGAAAAACTAATCTAATGCGTGTTATTGAATAATTTAAAGTATCCCTTAAAGAATCCCTTAAAGTAAACAATTGTGCATGTATATAAATGATAATTACATAAGCTATATATGTTATTCGAATTCGTGATCGAGCACAGTACGATTAATACTGTGAGTGATTGAATTTAGCGAAAGCAACCGTGCAGTGGAAGAAACTATTAGCGCAACTAAACCGTGCAATGGAAATTTTTTAATGCCACGTTTAAAGAACATTCAATTGATAAGGTGTTATATAATACATAACATATTATAGGCTGCATGTGTTTCAGTATTTTAGTATAAGTTGGTTGCTTATAGTTAACTCGTATAACAAATTAAAATATGCAATTTACCTGTCGCCTATGAAAATGTTTTGTCTCTTTTATCTTGTGTAGATCAATGTGGCAGACTACACGGGCGAGCAATGGCTGACTTGTTTCCAAGATACAGCTGAACAATTGCTAGGGAGAACAGCAGATGAAATTGGAACATTAAGAGACACGGTAAGCCTCGCATTATATATAGGAAGAACAGTTTAGTTTAATAAATACAGTGTTTTGACGTTTATACAATAAATACTTACATAATTTTATCTTCTTCCAAAATATTTCCAGGACGAGAAGGCATTTGAACAGGTGTTCAGCAAGAACGCTTTCATAAAAAAATTGTTTCGAGTCAAGGCTAAAGTTGACACGTATAATGTAAGTTTTTTTTGAAGATTCTTTTTTTCATTCTCTTAGATTTTTTTTAAGTATACACTTATTCGGCAACGATGCGTCACATGATGTCGGATCGAAGCTTTAGCATTTTCGATTCTACGTTTAACAAACGTTTTTTGTTTTACCAAATTTTGTCGCTGTTACCGTGATTATAGGTACAGTGTTTCTTCAAAATCACATATTGCATCATTTCTCTTGGATGAACAACGGTCGAAAATCGCTTTACCAATCAGAATTTTCGATAATTAGCCACACCTTAATTAGTATATACAATCGCCTATAAGGCGAGGTGATAACAAGACTTTTGTAACTGACGATTTCACGCCATATTTTGTTGCCTCCTTTGTTTTCATATACAGAAATTTTGAGAATTTTTTAATTCTTATTAATTCATTTAACCCTGAGAATAAGAAAGGGGCCAATCGCAATGATATAAGAGTGAGCTCAATATTGCAACGTCTATCTATTAGCTAATATATGTATATTAGGGTAAATCAATTCTGATTTTTGGCACTTCACTCGATGCACGTAAATTCAAATTCAAGCCAAGAACAGTTGAAGGAAAAATGAGTCAGCTATTTGACCCTTCAAACCCTACGAAGAATAACGGTTTATTGACTTCATTCACGTATAATTATAAATTTATATTCAGTTGTTTATTGCGAAGAATGCGAATCAAACATTTTAATATATTTTTCCAAGAGTGTCGCAGTAATGCAGATTGCAATGGGCCTATGTATACAAATATTTGTTGTGGAGGGCAACAATATTGGCGGCGTTGATATGCCAGGCAGCCAGGGTCAAAGGAAATGCACGACAACTCTATATTTAGAGCACAATTTTCTAGCAAGTCGTTATCTGGGGAACTTTAAACCAGGGAACTTGTATACGGGAATACATACTTCATGAATCGCAAATCACTATATTGCGCGAAAGAGCTTTCTAAACTGTCGGTTGAAAGATAGACATGCTAAGGATAGCGTCCATTCACATGCAGACTGTCTCAAAATAATCGAATGACTGTTAATATGTTTTGTCTGTAGAAAGCAATTCTATAATTCTCTTTTTTTTTCTTTTTTTTTTTTTTGCACTGTTGGAAATTGAATGAAGATTATCATTAATCCAGATATACGCATTAAGCTCATATAATAAATTCAAGTTTGCGCCGTTTTGCTTTCAACTGGGCAAGTTTGATTTTGATCGCAAAATTCCCACTCCTGCAAGCTAACTGGACGAATGAGGCACAAACCGCTTCCTCTTTAAAACATGTAAATTTGCTGTTAATAACTACAGTGTGTTGCATATATATTAAAGGAGAATCTACATGGCAAGCAAGTAATTATTACTTTATCAGGATAAAATTGGTTACTCCTAAGTACCGTATTTCCTTTATATAATTATTTTATTTCACAAATTTTATTTTTTGTGCGTACACACATGAGAGTTGTCTGTCAAATGCGAGCCAGAGTTGCACGTTTTGTTGGTTTTTTTATGAACAGATTTTTAATGTGTTTTTAGGATGAAACTCGCGTTAATTGTTCTGCCGACAGAGTAGCTTCTTTAGATTTACGAAAAGAAGCCAGGCGTTTGGCAGAGGAAATCGAGAAGTTAATGGTCTCAAATGGACAAGTTTAGATCACATTTTTGCGCGATAAAAAAGAAAATAGTCTGCTCACTGTGTTGGTTGGTTCGGTTATGTTGACAGTTTGTTTTCAGTTCTTCTAGTTTCAAGTTTTCTATAGTGGGTCTAAGTATAGCACAGGACTGTTCAAAATATGCGGTATTATGTATAACTGATTTGTGGTGACTATAAAAATATAAAAACTTTAACTTCAGTAGTGGGTCTAAGTATAGCGCAGGACTGTTCAAAGTATGCGGTATTAATGTAATTTATTTGTTGTGACTACAAAAATATAAAAACTTTAACTTCAGTAGTGGGTCTAAGTATAGCGCAGGACTGTTCAAAGTATGCGGTATTAATGTAATATATTTGTTGTGACTACAAAAATATAAAAACTTTAACTTCAGATATTGCGTGTTTTTCTTAACCATACAGGGTGTATCAGAAAAAAGTAGACATAGAATTTTGCAAATATGGGTACGTTAATTAGCATCGTCAGCTCAATTTAACATTAAAAACGAACAGGAAATTTAACCTCGAAAAACGGGAAAGGGGTTGGTAAAATAATTAACTGCTATTCTGCAAACTCGAGTCGTATATGAAAATAACTTTCAAATTTAGTGAATGCACTTTTTTAAAAAATTGAATAATTAAATCCCATATCGTGTTTATTTCGAAGGCAAAAGCGTATATTTTGTAAACCTATTATAAAATAATTATTAAATAAAATAATTATCACTTTTATTTAATGACTATTTTAGTTAGTTGAGGTGAATAATAAAATGATTATTGGATTCGTTTTTGTGCGTGATATTGAGAATTATCAAGACCTCGGTTGGCATTATCCTGCGGCTTCGGCATATAACGTCAACCTCTGCCTTGGAAATTCTCAATATCACGCCCAATCTCATCCAATTTAATACACAGCTGTATGTTCAAACATTCAACATCGCTAAAGTAAAGGTGTCGCCCCTCTTTTAAGGTAGTCTTATAAAAATATTTTTCTCATTTTGTAAGATATAAAAATTTTTCCATGCCATATTGCAAGCAAGTTGCTCTGAGTGAAAAAAAAAATTGCCCTGGAGCTGGAGAACAAATTTTACCCTGGAGAACAATACAATGAAACAATAGAATAGGCCAATCGATTCATTTTGTTTGCTCGGGGTAAACCGTAATAAAACTTTTCGTTTAATTCCAGCGTTCTTTATATATTTTTGTGTGAACAAGTACGATCGTACTACAGGGTGAGTCAAAAATTCAAATAAGCCGCGAACTTATGGCTGGAATTTGATGATTCCCATTGTGTACAATCAACAAGACGTGGTTAATTAATGCGAAAGTGTTTAAACCAATTGAAGTAAGGGAACAAACCCAAAGGAAACAAACTTTACGTTCTACTTAATTTATAGTTCACTTATTACTCCGGCGTCAGCGACGGAGTTGAAAATTCGCCTCGGTTTTGTTTTGTTTTGTTTTGTTTTTTTGTTGTTTTTTTTTGTTTTTTTTTTTTTTTTTTTGTTTTTTTTTTTGTTTTTTTTTTTTTTTTTTTTTTTTTTTTTTTTTTTTTTTTTTTTTTTTTGTTTTTTTTTTTGTTTTTTTTTTTTTTTGTTTTTTTTTTCGTCGTCGCAAGTCTGAATGGCGCGAAACATTGTAGTATTTAAATTGTGTATAACCGTATTTATCTACGTCCCAGTCTTATCTGCCAAGAGTTGTGGTGCACAGCTTTGGCTAAATTTCCGATGCGCGATTCGATTTCGCTCGCATGATACGGCAATTCCTCCAAGAGCAACAAATAAACCGTTCTTTTCATGCTTTTCGACTAAGTTTAGATTGAATTGGGGTAAGAATATATTTAATACATGTAGATTCTGGTCCTATTTTAGTAATATCGCTGCTATTTCGCCGTTTAACAAGATGATGTGGTCGTGTATGGGCGCTTTGACTCGTCGTAGTTTGCACAGGATTGAAGATTTAATATAACTATATAAGCGCGAATTCCAAAGGCAAAGTGTAAGACAAAGCGAATATATCATGCGGTTTATTTACATGTTTGAACAATTGAACTTCTATACTTTTTAAAGTACGATGTCCTTTTGAATTTCGCGATCGAACGTTTAGGTTCGCAAGGCATCTAAATGCGAATATGAACTGTATTGTTTATGTTCAGAAGCTCTATATTGAAGACTGGCACGTGCGCCGGAGTTAACGCCAGAACAGGCGTCTTGTTTGATATGCTTCGTATACCCATAAGATATTTTAGGCAGCTTCTGTCTCATTACAGCCGATTACAGACACATTGCAGCTAATTTGAATTTCAAAGGTGTCTCAAAAAGGGGTGTTTTTTGACTCACCCTGTATACTGGACCAGGAACTGCGTGACCGAGTTTCTGAACTGCATTGTATTTACAACAATAGAGAGGACAATGTATTTCTAATCGTTTGCGTATTCTTATATATAGGCTGAATATTAATGATATGTATATATTATTTGCTGCACATATAGTCAAGAATTGCTTGTAACTTGCTTCAACGGTCAAAAGTAAAAATTCGAACTCCGTTAATCGATGCGGAATATTGCTTAGAATAATTGTGCCAAGTTTCATTCCGATCAAACAAGTAATGCTAGAGCCTTAGGGTTTTTTTAAAGAGCGTCGCCCCCTAACAAGAAGAAGAAGAAGAAGAAGATTAGCAGCGGTTAGGGAACAGTTCCTGGTCCAAAAATAATTCACCATGGAATAGGGTTTAAGTTCACATCATTTAAGTTCACATCCCTTGAAATTGTTTTTCCAATAAGACCACTTACTCGGTTGTATATCATTTTAACGGCTGCGGCTTTTAGGTTGTTACATAAAAATAACTACGTTTTAAAAATTTGGCGCCAGATGTACATGCACGTTTGAGACACAGTTTGAATTATTCAAGTTTGAATTATCAAGCACCCCCACGCGCTCGCCTTTTTTCAGTTGACCTCTATCTATATAATAGAGAGTTTACGATTCACGACGCGAAGATTATTTTATAAAAGCACATCCGGGATTACAAAAATTAGTGAGCTTAACCAAGTGATGTTTTTGACAACACGAACCGCATGAGTAACGTGAAAAGACTGGGTCAAGGATTGTGATTGGTGAAAAGCAAAAACTTTACTTCCGGTCAACGTACATGTTGTCAAAAACGTCACTTACTTAAGCTCACTATTAATAAACAACGAATTTCAACCATAAACAACGAATTTCAACCACACAGTTTCTCGCAAAGTTCATTCACGAAATTCATTTTCATTTAAATTTGTTCTTACAAAAACTGCGTAACAAAGATTTTGAAAAACCAAAATTTTCCTGCCAAAATTGATGTTTTACCCGAGCGCGTTGTGTTTCGTAACATAACTTAGGGGCTGTTTACATGAGCCCGGTTACCCGAGATTCAACGAAGCGTGAGATGATTTTGAGGTATTGAAATGAGCAAATAACATGATCCCGACAGTCATATAATCACCACAACAATAGCATGTGCTTGTTTGGTATCATAAAGACTTATTTCAATACCTCAAAGTCATCTCACGCTTCGTTGAATCTCGGGTAACAGGGCTCATGTAATCAGCCCCTTACGTAAGGAACTAAATGGCAAGCCTTTTTCACGCTTTCTAACGTCTTCTTTAGACGCGTCGTTAATCGTAAACTCTAATGGCGGAATGCAACGTTATTTTTTTCCCCTAAATGGCCTTGGTACGTACGAGCTATGCCACATTTGTTTGACTTCAATAACTAACTAGAAATACATTGCATGCAAAGTCCCCTCGCCTGAACCAATAAACATATATTTCCATCACTGAAGTGAAATGCTATAATACTCGCTTCTGCCGAATGATCGAAGTCGTAAAGTAAAATCTTATATCTTGGTACAATTACAAAGTCGACTCGGAGGCTATCAAATTCGACTATAATCATATTAATAAATTGTGCTACGAATAGTTTTAAATACTATAATTTTTAGCGAAATTTCAATTACTTTTCAAACAGATTCACCTTTAAAAATAAATACTTTCCAAATCAAAATCATTTCAACGAAATTGACGAATAAATTCAAAACTTACAAAATACTTGCATGCTTTAAAATATAAATTTACCCATTTACCTGTTCAACAGCACTTCAAAAATGCCTCAAAATCGTAGTTTTTTTACCATCCATTTGAATGAAAGTTTTTCTATCCGAAGGCATCTTTTACATTATATTTTAATCAATTTTACGAGTCAATTTTTCCTATATTTTTAAGACCATCCAAATGAAAAATATTATTTAAAAAAAGTTTTATAATTCAAAATATCAGTTATGCTGACGTGATCCAAATTTTAATTTAGCCAATCGCACGTTTGGAAACGTTTGCTAGTTACCAGTTTTAACTCGTCTTAAACTCACGCATGCGCATAACTTACAAAAACGCCCAACGTCCATGACATAATGGCGGACAACTTTCATTTCGCATTTGCATTCCCGGGCGTAATTAAAATCTCCGGGCGGAATTAGTACCCTCGCCCGGTGCTTCGCACCGGCTCGGGGACAAACCAATTACATAAACTATCCAACGTCCATCATAACATAGAATTTGGACAACTTTGATTTACGTTATATTCTAGTTGTCACGACACCTAAACGTAATTTCCAATCTTTCAGTAGAGGAATTAGTACACGCCGGCTTGGGGATTATGCCCCTTATATTTTTCCTGGATTCTACAAGTTCTTCATTCAATTTTTAAGATAAAATTTAAAAGGTCTGTATAATATAAGAATTTTGGCTTGGCCATGCACGTATAAGTTGTCGTGAAAATGTGTCAAATGTCATGTTTGTCTGTATAGAGTTGTTGTGTATTATATATATTCATATAATTATATTCATTTATCGCTTCCGTTTCAACTACAAACCCCACAGGAGGTGCTGGCGGTTTCCGAGACTGCATAGCGAGCTCTGTTTTCTTGGCAAATATAGAGGCATGCAACTGAAATGAAGAATGACAATTTTTGGATAAAAAATGGCAATGTGCTAGAGCACATGCCGATTTAATTAAACCAAAAGTGACAAATTATAGCTAATTGTTACAACGTTCGTATTTTAGTACAGCACAGAAAAGGTGGGGTGATAAAAGCGCCCACACTATCATAACTACATAGAACTTATCGTAGCTCACAACCTACAGAAGGGGAGAGAGGGTCGGGTGAAAACTTCCGAAATTGCTTCCACGAAACCAAGTATAAAATGACCTTGAACTTTTCGGACTGCGGGCGACTTCGTTGTGTTGAACCTTAAATTTTAAAACTTTATGGTAAGTGAATGTTTTTTTACTAAAAAAGTATTTTATTGGTAAATACATGAAATAAATTACAGCGTAAAAGCTTTGGTGAGAT